GTGTGTGTGTGTGTGTGTGTGTGTGTGTGTGTGTGGAAATAGAGTAAGCTGATAGGGATTTTCTGCCGTCCCAGTCGTTATAGAAATCAACCCTTAGGCGGAAATGGTGTGGATTCTGTCTTACACAGTGTGTGTGTGCATTATGGTCACATGCTATAGGCATACATGTCTGTCTGTCAAACACAAACTCATATAAATGTGCAAGATTTGCATTTAGAGTGCAGTAATCCTGCTCGGATTAAATTTATTTGACTAAAATGTCACCGGTGTGGGATCCCAGTCACACAAGTTAACCTGAGCCTCAGGTGCACGTCCATCCCACAAATAAACATCTCATAGCTCAGTTTCATTTCCATTACCGCTCACAAGCACTGATGGTAATCATCAGCTTTTATTCAGATTGTGCTGAAACCAAGCCAGGCTCCATTTACTGCTCAGGAGCAACCCACAGAGCACAAATATATGAGTCTAGTTAGATCTGCATCACCTGCTAATTCACCAGTACATTAAAGAATTAAGGCAATCGATGATCCTGCAGGTACCGCACCAAAATCCAACAGATCAATATGAAAGAAATGAACCAGTTGGATCAAATAGGTGGGGTCCAAATAGATAAATTGATTTCAGTGATGATTTTTTCTCATTTTATTCAAATCCACACTTAATTAGTTACTTAAAACTTCAAAACAAAGTGAATGTGACTTAAAATGACCTTTTTTTAATCCAAATCTGATTTTTCTGATGTTATCTTTCAGAGAACCTGGAGCTGTTTGGCAGCAGCAGAATGTTCCTGATGAAACCAATACTGATGGAGTTTGATCCCTGTCAGCAGCCCTTAAGCTCCTAGTCCTCAATCAGCCCAGCTTCTGATGAGACTGAAGTAAACCCCAGCGTCAATCCCCTGAAAGGCAGGAAAAATCACCAGAAAAAAAAAAAAAAAACTTACCCCGAAGATGACAGTATCTTCTCCCTGAAATATTGGGATAAACTTATCTCCGCGGATAATTTCCGACTGGTTGAGCGGACGGAATCGACACAACACCTTGATATTGCATTCAGCGTTGGTATCAGCCATTGTGGGAGTGGGGGAATAAAAAAGTGGCAGCGCGTCCAGAGGATAAATAATAATAATAATAAAAAATGATAATAAATAATATCCAATCGCTTCACTTCAGGATGCGGATGAAAACAGCCGGCTATATCCGCATGCAAAACGAGACCGGTGGGCGATGCATTTGGTTGAATGGACAACTACGAGTTTAAAGCCCCCAAAAATCATTGAAATAACAAGAAACAAAAGCAAAACAAATAAGCTTTTTAAGAGTGATTTTCTGTTTCAAATGTCCTCAGACCGAATCGTTCAGATGAGCGGAGCAGAACACAAGGAGAGGTGTAACTGAGGAGTCCAGTGTGGTCCGGGTTGTCTGAATGGTTGCAGGTTTCTCAGAGGCATGCCTTGCATCACTGCCCTCTGAATGGAGGCGGGGCGTGGTGGAGTAGCTCCTCACATCCTCTCTCATCAGTATCACTGAGCCACCAACACACCGACAGGAGCTCCAACTCTGCCTTTTATCCAGCTTCCAATACTGACTTCTATTATAATATGCCTTAATTTAATTTTTAACCATGCATGTTTTTTTTTCATCTCTACTTTTTAAATGCTATACAATGTTTGCTGTCACGATTGTTTAAAAGAGCACAGACTTAAATTTTTAAAAGGTATGAAAAATAAAAAAGTTCATGGCTTTTCGTGCAGGAGTAAATAAAAAGAATAGATAACAAACATTTTCCAAATACACCCTTGTCCTCGAGAATAGTCAACTTTAAAATCCTGAGGGGAATAAACACAATGTGAAGCATCTTCTCTTAGTTGACGATCTTTGGTTCATTGATTCACTCGTACGCCTGGCGCCACCATGTGACTTCTCAGTCAAAATTCATCATGATGATGCTTTTAAAATGGGGTTGTGGTGGGTTGGTGGTCGGGTTCCAGTCTAGATAGCGCCAGGAAGGAAAAAAAACACTTTTTCATGCAAGTTCTCGCCCCCTACAGAAAGAAGCGTCCGAAAGAAAAATAGCAGCAACTTTTAAAACATAAATTATAAGCAATTGTTTGTTAGTGGTATGCATACATTTTTTATTAGCGATAATGTGTATTTGACGTTTGTAGATTCTATTGGACAAACGGAACATGAGCGTGATGACGCTTTACGGCTTTAGGTTCGTTTGTTTTGTTGCCTTTGTTTAACCGTCATAGTGTTTTCCTCTGCTTCAGCATTCACCGTACCGCCCATGTGACACTGGTGAACAAACCGAGCACACCCGCTGTCAAATCAAGCTAGTGACCACATCAGGCTAAAAATCTCCGCCGGCTGAGTGTGCTGGCTCACCCATCGTTAGCTTTTGTCTTAATCCCATACGGCGCATAGATAATTTGGACATTTTAGGGACCAGCTGTTGTATTTCATTGTGTTTTGTTGACCGTATTCCTGCTTCCTGTTGACAATGGCTGATCCTAAATACGCAAACCTACCTGGAATCGTAAGTGGCTAACGCTAGCAGGTATAGCTAGTCTGCTATGTGGCAGTGCTAGCTAACATCAGTGTTGCAGAGTTTTTATTTTTAACTTATTTTTTGCAAACTTTGTGAATCTTCATTCAGTACCTGTAACTACGGCTGTTTAGTTGCAAATGCTTACCTAACGCTTTGTCTTGATGTTCTCTCATAACAAAAAGTTAGCTTTTGTTGGTGTTGTTGAATGGGCCGGGGCGTTGGCCAAGCTGACATAATAATAAGCCAAATCATTTTTTATTTCAATAGGCTTTTAACGAGCCAGACGTGTACGAGACCGGAGACCTTCCGGAGGACGATCAAGCTCAGTTTGAGTCGGTAGGTGGACGTTTTGTATGAATTTGTAGGTTTGTTCTGCTTGTAGCTGATGAGCTAACAAGTGTTTTTACTTTTTCACTGCACTAAATATTGACTCATCCACTCTACTTTACTGTTTGTCTGCTACTTGGCTGCTAATCACACAATTATTCTATTTATCTACTATTTAGTTATTGACTACTGCCTTACTAGTGGTGAAGATATATATA